AGTGCTGACGTTAATCCACATCAGGGAGTATCGCATCCACAGTTATCCATGTCTATCATCAGATTAAGGTTAAACAGTTATCATCAGTTATAAAATTGAGAACTGAGATTAGGAAGTCGTGTATTCCTTCTTTGTTAGAAGAAACTTGTTATCGTATTTAAAAAAAATATCACTAACATATTCTGCATTGAACGATAGTAGACAATTTAATTAATAAAAAAAAAAACAGTAAAATAATACAGTTCATATAAATCTTAAAAAACTTTATTTCCAAAACGCCAAATGGATTATACACGTACTCATTACATACTCGTTGTTGTAACTCAATATTCGTTAATTTTTGGAGCGTGTTAGTAAAGATTCAGAGTTTACCAAGAGTATTGACGACTGAATAGTGAATACCCCACGTTCAAAGGTAATGTTGTCATTACCACTTATACCACAAACCTTTGCCCAGCAAATCCTGGGTATCAGCCTTTTATGAGGTTTTGTTAGTCTTTGTCTGTACTTTTAACCAGTATTTCCCCCGTCCCTTGTAATTAGGAGTGAAATCTATTATAAACTAGCCAGTGTTACTATTGATAATAGAATTGTATGTAAGTTAAAAATCATTAAAATGGCTATAGGAATATTCGAGTATTCCCAGGGATTGTATAATTGTTTAATTACCTGTGTGGCAAAATGAACAAATAAATGCTGGATTTGAATAGTCACATACAACTAGATCAATTCGAAAAAATGTTAACAGTTCATTGTTGATTACTGCAGATCCTGTTCTTGGTAGTTTGTAGATTATGGTGTGAGTAAATCAAATAAATTCCATAATAACATGTTGTATAACCCGTTGAAGAATTTTGTAAATTTAAGTAATGCAACATATGTTTAAAACGAGTCTCATAAAATACATACATGTATTTTGTTTGGTTATTACATAACTAATGGTCATAGAATCTAACACAATGTCTACTGTTTTATTACACATCGTCGACTAGAACTGTCTTGACGATAGTTTTCCTACAGTGATCTCTTCGGTGTTACATAGTGAAAAATATATGAATCCAACAATATTTGTCAAATACCTACAGTCAAAATCCACAATTCTATATCATTCGGCAATAATCAGCTTTTGAACAAACAACCGATAAACTGTATTCTCACTATAGACTAAGGTAGTGAAAAAATAGTAGGTTTCATAGATTAAAAAATAAAAATGCCCCTACATCATCAAGTTAAGTAATGTTTGGTGTTCTTTAACAGCTTCTAGGACGGAGTAGATGGATCGGAAAATCTTAAAGATAGATTGATGTTAAACAACGTAAAAACCTGCGACAGAGACTGATAATCTAAAACGTTAAGGGTGGCTTGTTTAAACAATTTAAGCCGTCTAAAAGTTAAAGATTTGATTTTCTATGTGTTTGTTAACCTATAATGTTTAAATTCAACACACATGAATAGTTTTGTATTTTTACCGAACACCCCATATTAAACATCCCTATCTCAAGCGTGATGTATACAACTTCTTTACTTCACGAGTGATGTAAAGTTGAAAAAACTCACTCGTTGAGGTAATGAAACCCATTTAAATAACATTGAGTGCTTAACTTAAAAAATATACCTCTATGGAGCCAACGACGTTCACCGCTAGAAATCAGCTGTGTGCTTAAATGTTATTGTTATGCTTTAAAGTATTTTCCTAACCTAGCTTTTGATTGTAAAAGACCGTTTACTGTTAGAAGATTAGTGAAATGGATAATGAAAAATATTGTACGTAAACCCATGTATATTGTCGGGTCAGGTAAATCTTGTACGTTACACGTTACGCAAGAGCGTGTTTACATCACTTGGGTGAATTATACAACTCGCTTCCGCTCGTTGCACAACATTCACCTACGTGATGTAAAAACGCTCTTACTACACTTGTAATGTAAATAGCTATTAATGCACTTACGAGTGTAATCAAAAACTTCTTACAAACTCTCCTCGATCTATCTACAGTAACCATATTAAGATATACTTAGATACAAGTCGGTAAAATATAGAAATACACAAAATGGCGACTAATACCAACTAGACATATACACTGGACATCAGCAGGCCACATCATAGATACTGTACTGTATCATGTACTGTGTCACTGTCGTAGATGAAACGTAACGTGCGTTTTGGGAAAAAGAGGAACCACCTGAAAACTAGCTTTTATAAAAGATTAATTTTAATACATCGTTTGTATTAATACCATTGAGTGTGGACATTTAAATTATTACAATCGTTAATACAAGGTGAATAAAAAGTCAAGACCCTCCATCTAATATTTCCCCCAGTAAATATAAAGAGATATGCTGTAAGTCACAGTGCATTCTTAGCACGAAGTTTCATTTCATGATTTTGAACATTAGTAATTCTTTATCCCATAATTTAAGTTAAATCGTTAAACCCATAAGTGTCCATGAGTGTAAAATTTGGCAGGCATCTTACTTACAAAATAAATAAATATATATATTTTTTTAAATTGGGGATTTTGGGGGAAACTTAAAATCTTTAAAAGTAAACCCCCTTCAAGTGACACCTTATGTTGTACAAACAAATAAAGAATTGTGAAAACCAGAGTTTGCTATATATTTTCTATCCTAAATGGTAGCTCTGTATATTTACTGAGACAAATATTCGATGGGGGGCCTTGACTTTTTACTCACCCTCCATTTACAAAAGACAACGGTCGAAACAATAAATAAAATATATGTATTTCTCATTCCAACTAAAATGGCAGTGTAATTAAATTAGTCAACAAACAAACCCTTGAAATTTTTTCTACAATTTTAATTCCTCTCAAGGTATAAGCGGTTTTAATTTTTTAAGATATAATGTTGCCTTCTAGAAATACAAGTAATTCTTCATTCCATAGCTTAAATGTCTTACACCCTTCTAAAAGGCAACAGTGTACAAATTGGCCGGTATCTTACAAAATTAATGCATAATTTTAACATAACAAAAGTGCCTATATAACTCCTTAACCAGCACAATGCTTAAAAACGTTGAATCATAACTGTAATTGAAAAAGTCTATCTATCTATCTATACTATTATAAAAAAGAGGTGGTGTCTGTGTGTATGGGAAAAGTAAACGCGAAAACTACGGGTCGGATCGGGCTGAAATTCGGCATGATGATAGCTCATATTCCCGATTAACATATAGGCATATTTTTATCCCAAAAATCCTTCCGGGCTCCGCCCCAGTGGCTCTGGAGCAAAGTTTCCCATGTTAACCTTATGAGAAATGGAATTAATGAATCTTAACAGCTGTTTCAATTAAACAAGTTGGTTCTGTTCTATGATTTTCAATAGCATTAAAGTTACAAGGATTACCAACAGGGTGCAGCACTAGCATTATTTCTTTTACATTTATGACAACAGCTAATTTGCAACCAAAAGGTGAGTGAGCGTAGCGAACGAGCTAACCTGAAGGAAAGTGAGCGCAGCGAACGAGCTCCAACCTAAAGGTGAGTGAGCGTAGCGAACGAACTTCAAAAAGAACCGAAATTTCTTAAACCATGTCCTCACTCATAACTGCTATAAGCATTTGATACTTATATGCCAACCCCGTACGAAGGACGGGTACTCTGCTAGTACTATTATAAAAAAGAGGTGGTTGCTGCATGTGTGTATGTGTGTATGGGAAAAGTAAACTCGAAAAATACTGGTCGGATTGGGCTGAAATTTGGCATGATGATAGCTCACATTCCCGATTAACATATAGTCATATTCTTATTTCAAAAATCCTTTCGGGCTCCGCCCCAGTGGCTCTGGAGTTTCCCATGTTAACCTTATGAGAAATGGAATTATTGAATCTTAACAGCTGTTTCAATTAAACAAGTTGGTTCTGTTCTATGATGTTCAATAGCATTAAAGTTACAAGGATTACCAACAGGGTGCAGCACTATTATTTCTTTTACATTTATGACAACAGCTAATTTGCAACCAAAAGGTGAGTGAGCGTAGCGAACGAACTTCAACCTGGAGGCGAGTTAGCGTAGCGAACGAGCTAACCTGAAGGCAAGTGAGCGCAGCGAACGAGCTCCAACCTAAAGGTGAGTGAGCGTAGCGAACGAGCTCCAACCTAAAGGTGAGTGAGCGTAGCGAACAAACTTCAACCAGGACGTGATTGAGCCATGCGAACGAGATAATCTTGAAAATTAAGAAGTTAAACGGGGCAAAGCCCGCGGGTTACAGCTAGTCCTTAACTAAAACTGTAATGTAATTAAACTAAAGAATATCCCTCCTACGAACAAACCAAATAGTGTTAACGTGCCTATAAAAGCAGTCACGTGGTTTGTCACGTGATCTTCCTTTGTTGTTACAACGGTTACAACGTCAAATCGAGTCACGTGGCCAAGCCGTATCCAGGGTAATTATGAATTAATTATGCAACACAATGATTTTTAATTAAATTCCACTAGCTTTTAGCGAATTTCCTACAGGGAAGGTCTCATGGTAAGACCAAGGTCTGGAACCTATTTACTTTTTCATTTCGATGTCCCCAGAGGCCAAAAACACCATTCGTTCAAATTTTTATATTTGTATATATATATACATATATAAAAATTTTTATATTTGTATATATATGTGTGAGATGTGTGTGTGTGTGTGTGTGTGTGTCCATCCAGATGATAACTTGAGTAATATTTGTCCGATTTTGATAAAATTTGGTTTGAAGGTGTAAGGTGGAATAAACTTGAATGTGTTTGCGAACCAGCATGATCGGTCCATGGGAACAGGGTTTAACGGGAGGTTTTATGGGGTAGAAATGGTGTTTTTCATATTCTTTACCCTTAAAAGTCAACATTTATCAATTTTTCTCTAAACCTTTTTAAAGAGCTTAAAAAACAAATAATTTAGTTTATTAAAGTGTTTTTGTACGGTGATTGGTTACGAAGAAAGTTAAAAAAAATATATAGTTTAAAATCCCCATGTTATTCTTATGGAGAATATTGTAAAATGTTGGCTTGTTTATGAATATATTTTGATCAAACTTGGCGGATTTATTTATTTCCTACTAAGCAATTGAAATTTTATTTAAAAAACACACTTTATTAGTTTCCCTATAGCAGCTAACCTAGGTACTCGTTAAACATAAAATGTTAATTTAATAGATTAATTGAAAATCAATCCAGGCAAATGGAAATTCGCTTAGTCGGCAGGTTTGCTGCAGTGATTTTTACAGCTTTGTTTAAACGACACTAGACTGGTTGTTAAAAAATATCATCACTAAATACTGACAATGAACTTCTGACAAATAATCACTACGGTGCTAATTTAAAAATTAAGTGTGTAAAACAGTAAAATATCAACTAAATTAACTTGGAACTTAAATTCTTCACTTTCTTTTTTCCACTGTAATCCACAGGCCTCCTTTTACTCTTGGGGAAAAACCTTTAGGCTCAAACTGAATTGGAAGTTTCATCTTCTTACTGAGAGATACTGTGTACTGCGACATAATTCTTGAGATGCAGACTTTCATTTCCAAAACGACAAATCTCATTGCTGAAAAATAGAAAACCATGCCCGTTGTGAATTATTGGATTGTATTTTTCTGTGCCAGTAGGCTATATGAATATAAATAGTACCTATCTACTTAAATTTTACCTCTCTCAAAATTGTACAATGAATTGAGTCCTCCTTTAATGCAAACTTCTCGCTAATTGAACCTATAAGAAATACTCTACTGTATGGATTAAAATTGATATTAAGTATAAAGGAAATAAAGTTATAAATTTATAAGTTTTTTAAACAGTGATAAACGTATTAAGATTAAAATCTAGTTTATCAATTATCAGTTTATGATGTCACTTGTAGAAGGATTGTGTGGTTTAATTTATTATTAAATGTATACCATTCTGCTACCCTGCTAAATATTTTATTTAAGAGAACCTTTAATCTCCAATAAATTAATCAGTTTTTAAACAAGTTGATGAACTACTATTTGAAAAACTTAATCAACATCAAGTGGCATCCACTACATAAAAATGTATTTGAACTTGAGTGGATGGATAAAAAGTTATTATTCGTTGTGTTCACATTTCAGAATCATCTTAAGAACATGATCTATTTGGATTTTTGAAGAGGTAGACTAATGAATGATCTATTTCCAATTTGTACTTAAGTGTACTAAATTAGTTCTTTTAGACCACAATTTATTTGCAACATGTTAAAACAGCAGTTATTATTATTTTGTTTACATTATCGTTAATCTCCCATTCGAAATTAAAATTGGAAATGGATTTGACAATTGATGATTAGTATTAACACCAAGTATTGGTGCCAATTACGAATTAAAAGTAATATTTTGTATTTAAGTGGATCAATAATAATTATATTTTATTGAAGATAAAAAATTTGAACAGTAAATAAAGGAAAATAAGAGATTTAAAAAATCTTGAATACTATGATTTTACTCAAAGTCAATTAAAAACACCGGCCTGATTTATAAAATTTTAAGGTACATTTTTAAAGCAGCTTAGCTGTTGAGTTTGGTCTGGAGATTTCTAAACAAATTAGGTAAATACCTGACCAAACCAGAAAACCTAAACCCGAAACCTGACCAAAAAATTACTATTTAAGTTACCGTATGAAAAATTATTAAGTTAACTCACCAATGCATATTCTTGGACCATCTCCGAACGGCAAGTAGGTCGGAGTTGGTTTGTAGTTCGGCTCCGGAAAACGCTCCGGATCGAAGACCTCAGGGTCCGGGTAGTACTTAGGGTCATGGTGGATAGCCCAGACCGGGATATTGATCCGGGTGCCCTTCTCTATTACAAAGTCAGAGTCCGGGACTCGGTAGGGAATGGTGCAAACACGGTTAATAAAGGAGTTGATTGGATACATACGCATTGACTCTGCAACACGAAAATTTTAATCGTAAGGACAGGTTGTAAGTAACAGTTCAACTTGTGGGCCAGTTACTATAGAATGACGACATGACTCCTGTTGAAGCAGGCACTAAAGTACCTTCTGTAACATGACTTGTGGAACAATTACGAAAATAACATTTTTTGAGCAACAGTTAGGTTTACTATCAAGTAACATGGCTCCAGGTTAATCTATTTTCAACTTAATTCAAATTGGAAATTGACGTTTGAGAGTAAATGCATAGATTTCTGGAAAATTGAGCGAAAATACATTATCTACGCAGTAAAATTTGTGCTGCATCAAAACCTGTGGTTAACCTTACTAATTGATAAGGACATCATGAGTAAAATTACAAAACCTACACTTACATCTATCTTTGTGAGCTTAACTCTTTGGGATGAACTGCAATTTAACTGAAGAGTATTTTTCCTAAGGATGGATTGCAGTAACCTTACACACTATCTTTGTCAATTCAACAGCAGTCATCTCCCAAAGATCATCTCCCAACAACCTGCATGGGCATGTGGAGTCTGCAGGTCTAATCACCTTAAGTTTGTACATTTGCAAATGCATTGACAGCATTTTACGTCAGGATTGCATACCGAGTATAAATATTTTATTATATATAAATATTTAATATATAATATATATTAAATATTTTATATAATATAATAATAATATATATTTAATAATATATATAATATATATTAAATATTTTATTATAGATATTGAGAGAGAGATAACATCAGAACTGTGTCCAGTGAAGCACAACACAGCTTAACCTGCCCAGCTTGAATTCTGCATACTAATTTCAAAACCATCCCCAGTAAAGTGCTGCAGCTTCAGGATTTCTTCTGGGCCGAGGATTCCTGGTTTACGAGTACCAATGTGATTGAGACCATAGAACTACAAGGATATCTACGAATAACAGGAGTGTTGTAAACCACAGGAACAGTACGGACCTACGCAAGGACTGATCTCACCTCTGCCAAACCTTGAATAGATCTCAGAAGCACTATCCAATAGGAGGAATACAAAACAAGGATCATAAAAGTAAAATTGTATATAGAATGGTTAATGGCTTGAAAAGTGAATAAAAGCGTTTGAAATTAATTTAAGTATTTCACTTAGTGAACCCTTGCCATTATTGAAAAGTGTTCTGGAGGAAACTTCCTTACAAGACAATTATTGTTCAGAACAATCTCTTGCAAATAACCCTTAAAATGATGGTTACTTACCACATAACACTTTGTCCAGGTAAACCATTTCCTTAAGCGCCTGATGGCTTAAATTTTTGTGCTTGGCCAAGACCTCATCTATTTCTTGCTGCAGTTTTTCCTGTATTTTTGGGTTCATTGCGAGAGCGTACATAGCATACACCATGGCTGATGAAACCTCAGTGCCGGCCGCCAGAAAGAGGAAAGAAGTGGCTGCTAGGCATCCTTCTGTCATCACTATTCAAGAAGAACGATTGTTAAGTTTGAATAGAAATAGAGTGTCTACCTAGATACGGAATTTTAATATTACAAGTAGTGTTAGGCTACACCTTTCATGCCATTGGTAAAAATGTTATCAAGTTTTCTAGAGCAAGGTGTCCGGAAAATGAGTACTATTCGTTACAGTGTGTGAATTTGACAAGCATTGAACAATGTGCTTATTGAAAATTTATTCAACGTTGCTGATGATGGGTTACAGACGTATGTGTAAATATTTAGCATTTTTTACACCATATTTTAAACAATAGAGCTCGTCTAGACCTCATGAGCAATTTAAGAGCCAACCATCAATCTTTTTCAAATCATCTGATAGATTACATTGTTTGATTAGTTATGAATGAAAATGACTTTTTATGAATGAAAATAAGCAACTTAGGCCAGCAATCTTTAAAATTTAAAAAATTATAATATTTTTTAAATGGTTAAAATAAATCAACTAGAATGTTCTGTAACATGTGATTGTGAATTTTTCATACCATGATGATGCTACTGATTAAAGTAGGGGCTAAAGTGTGTTTAATGGTGATACAAGCTGTCATTAAAACCTATCTGGGTTCATAGTCTGTGACAAAGCCATAACTTACTTTAAAACAATGCTGCGGCATTGGTAACGTTGCACCGGCATGCCTATTGCCATAACAGTAACAACAAACTTGTTAACATAAACATTGTAGGCTATACGTCAGCGGTGTTGCCACTTTTGTCTTGCCACAGCTTTGTATTAAATGAGGTTTTGGTAAAGCTGATAATTTTTAATAAGAATATTATTATAACTCAGCAATAACTAATTACCTTTTTGGTTTTGCAGGTCTTTGCTGTACACAGATGAGAATTTCAGCTGGTTAACAACATCATCCTCTTCTACATCATCATCTACAGAATTCGAGACATTTTTGTTTTCCTCGTTTTCTTTCAAGTTCATCAACAGCTGAAGGAAATCGTTCCGTTTGACTCCTTGCTCTTTCCTGTATCTCACGGTTTCTTTGCTGAGATTCAAAAAATATTCTGTCACTTCTTTAGAAAACATTGTGATTCCTAAAAAGGAGGCAAACCTGGTGTATAACAACCTCAGCAACATGACAAGAGAAGCAAATCTAGTTGCTGGAAAAGCCTTGAAGACCATTTCTTTAAACCTTTGTCCTTCCTGACTGTCCATTTTGAATTGTAGTCCGAAAGCACAGCTGGCTATGACGTCGATGGTGAACTCGCTCAGAATATCCCTGGCTTCAACATCTTGCTTGTTGCTCGCTAGCGTGTTAAATTTGCTCAAGAGGGTCTCTCCGCTGTTTTGGATCTGCTCGATCATCCCTTTGAGTTTTCCGGAGGTGAAGGTCGGAGTGAGTTTATGCCTCAATGTCCGCCATTCATGTCCAGTTAGTGTTGAGATCGTATTGGTCAAAGGGTCGTTCTTCGGGTCAGTCGGAAACATCGCTCGGTCATGAAAATGGGCAAAATCTTTCACCAGCATTTTGTATATCAAATCTGGGTCTCTGATCATTAGATTGGGCATGTTGAACTCATAAAATCCACCGAATCGTTCTCCTTTCAGCTCGTCATAAATTCTGTTGTGAACCTCAAAAACATTTTCTTTTCCAAGTAAGTTGTCTTTGAAGCTTCCGAAAACCAGTAGAGGTTTGACATAGGGCACTCCTCTGTTTTTCCAATATTTGTACTTTTCATTGAAATACAGTATTATAACAATTATGAGAGTGAAAATCGCTAAAGCGACATCTACCCAAAGTGAATTTGTTAAGAAAGCCATGCATACCTGAAAGAGCAGAAAGGTTTGTTGTAGTTGTAAGTTAACTCAATGTTATTTTCTACTTTTGAAATTCCATTTGAAAACTATTTTTTATGTTTCAAGCTAAGTATGATTTTTTTTGTTCAGCGTATCAATCTTAGCTATTTTTTCTTTTGTTATTTTACAAACTTTTAAATTGTTTTAACCAAATTATTTTAAAACTATTGCCCATCATCTACATTTTTTTGTGAAGCATAGTATAGAGTACACTTAACTTTACCCTAAGTAAGATAAAAACGCTACATTAGCTAACTGAAACGTAACTGAAACCATAGATAAAACATACTCCCTTCTGAAACTGTCTAAGGAAAGGTTTAGTCCGTAGATTAGCCATCAATAGAGAAACGAGATAAATTCTCTTGGGGATCTGCCCCAACGGCCTTTAAAATTCTTTCCCATTTTATTCTTATGGAATAAAAAAAACGAAGGTTTTGTCACAACTAATTTGAGAGAACGGTTGGGAGTAGAAACTTGGTAGGGGTGTCTAAAGATAGGTCTTGGTCTGTAGATGAGCCATCAAAATAGAAAAGAGGTAAATTCCCTTGGGGCTTCACCCCAGAGGCATTTACAGTTCCCTTCCCAGATTTGTTTACATTACGACCGTATGGATAATTTTACACTACATTTTAATGACACAGCTGTTGAATATTTAAAATTCATACAAAAAAAACATGTTATAGGGAATTTGTCAAAACTGAGTGTTTGCAATGCTTTTTTCTGTTTTTAAAATGGATTTTCTTCTGCATCGTGTCATGTTTTGCAATATAATGTTCTCTTACAACATCAGTGGAACATCTTAATATCACAGTAACTAACTCTTACAATTATTTCTTCGATTTAAACTATTGTACGGGTTGGTTTCTACCTCTTTTACAATTTTTGCATATATTTTATGATACCATTCAAGACAGTTCATCATAGATTCATGAGATTATTGTCATGTTTTCGATCATTGGAAAATTTTCGGTTGTGTAATACAATACAAAATCATACAAGTGCAGAAGGGTACACTGATAAAATCACAAAAAATTACCTACATCCAACATCCAATTTCCATACACCAATAAGGTTTACAAACAGGTATACTATGCAAATTTACTTATATGCTATACAAATTCTACATTACGTACTCTTTTATTAGTACGTTGCTATAATTTTTTTTACGAACTATGAATGTTTTGTAAAACGAGGTAATGGACTTCACCAAATACAAATAACAGTACAGTTATTACAAAATTACTCTATAATAATGTCCGTGTAAATGGGGGTTTTTAATGTGTTTTTATCCTTTTGACTAGAAAACTTACCAAGATTGGCAACTTTGGTTATGATGAGTAATATTACCACTAAAACCACTAACACAACTGTCCTACTGTTACTCCGTTCTTATAAAAATAGTTTATTGGCAATGGGCCAGTAGATACCAGTGTTGTGTTTTGAGTGGATTGTACTGGTATCTATAGATAGTGCCAATCAATTAGAATGACTTCGCAGATTCAACAAGTAGAATGATTATGCATTTTAGTATTTACTTAGACGGAATGATTAGGTAATCATTTTATCATTTACTTGGACGATTATCTTAAGTGAAATTACTGAAGATTATTTACCACTGTTAAAATATGAAATTAAAGTCATTGTAACCGTATAGCGTCTCTTATTCCTGGTCAGAATCCGATGAGAACCTCTTTAGCGAAGGAGTGGGGGGCGTAAAGTCACTCTCTTCTCTTGAGGGAACACCATTACCGCAACAATACGAAGTGCAGCCATCGGTGTTCGTGGTGTAGTGGATACAGTATTAGGCTGATGTCCATATCCAGATCGAGTCCCATCGGTGACTCTAAGTTTTTGTCAAAGATTTGGCTTAGAATGCGATAACTTCTTAACAGTATATCTTTTGTTAGAATTTGAGGCATTTATAATTTTACTAGCTGTAACCCGCGGGCTTTGCCCCGTTTAACTTCTTAATTTTCAAGATTATCTCGTTCGCATGGCTCAATCACGTCCTGGTTGAAGTTTGTTCGCTACGCTCACTCACCTTTAGGTTGGAGCTCGTTCGCTGCGCTCACTTGCCTTCAGGTTAGCTCGTTCGCTACGCTAACTCGCCTCCAGGTTGAAGTTCGTTCGCTACGCTCACTCACCTTTTGGTTGCAAATTAGCTGTTGTCATAAATGTAAAAGAAATAATAGTGCTGCACTCTGTTGGTAATCCTTGTAACTTTAATGCTATTGAACATCATAGAACAGAACCAACTTGTTTAGTTGAAACAGCTGTTAAGATTCAATAATTCCATTTCTCATAAGGTTAACATGGGAAACTCCAGAGCCACTGAGGCGGAGCCCGAAAGGATTTTTGAAATAAGAATATGCCTATATGTTAATCGGGAATGTGAGCTATCATCATGCCAAATTTCAGCCCAATCCGACCAGTATTTTTCGCGTTCACTTGTCACAAACATACATCCATACATCCATACATCCATACATCCATCCATACATCCATACATCCAAACTTTCTCATTTATAATATTAGTAGGATTTTATAAACAGAACAATTTTTTCGATTAATAAATCTTTACTAGTTTTATATATTTTTTATATTATCAGCAAGTTTGGTTGGTTTGGTTGGGTTATGACAGTTTAGTTTTAAAATTAAAAAATTAAAAAAAATTATTTTACTATTAAAAATATAAAATATTTTCAAATTGACGTGAGGGGCTCTCCCACATTCCTTCGCAGAAGAGGTTCCCATCGGTTTCTGACCAGGAACCTGAGACGCTAGTATTGTAACCGTGTCACTGTTGTTTCATATCCGATAATTTGAGTATGTTGATGTTGATTAAATGTTTATCTTTTAACTCATGTGCTTTGCCCTTTGGTTATGTAAAAGGAGTACGAGTAGTAGTTTATTAGAATATCCTTGCATGAAGAGGAAACATGAAAAACTCAAAAGCACCGAGGCACAAACATGGCATAAAATTGTCTTCAGCTTCTCCATAAGGATAATTTATCCTAGGAGGAACTTTGATTGTATGATTGTGCAGCTCCCATATTTTCAGCAGAGGTATAAAGAATTACAATAAGTTAGTGTATTCTGTATTTACACGTATGTGCATACTTAACAAATTTTTAATACTTTCTCTTGAGAATCAGGCACTGCATCTAAGGTTTGTATTTTATTGCCCAAGCCTTGCCAAGCAACTGTTGTAGTTTGCTTGTTTATGGATATATTTTAATCGAATTTGGCAATTTTGTTTATTATCAATTTACTAAGCTATCAACATTTCAGTAAAAAAACACATCAAATACCTTCCCTGTAGCGGCAAACCTAAGTACTCATTAAAATTAATGTTATTTTAATCTTACTAATATTAGAAATGTGAAAGTTTGTCTGTTTGTTTAATTTTGTTTGTTTGTTTGTTTGAAGTTCAATCACGCATAAACCACTGGACGGATTGTGCTGAAATTAGGCATGATGATAGCTCACATTCTTGATTAACATATTGGCATATTCTTATCTCAAAAATCCTTTCGGGATCCACCCCAGTGGCTCTGTAGTTCCCCATGTTAACCATATGAGTATTCATATTTAAAGGGAATTAAAGAATTTAGTCACCTGTTTCAACTGAAACATTTGGTTCTCTGATGCAAAAGCATTTGAAAGTTGTAAGATTTACCAACAGGGTGCAGCACTAAATTTGTTTTGTTCATTTATGTAAAAAGCTAATTTGAACTAATCAGTAACAAAAAACAGTGATACGCAATGAGAACTGTCAAAGTTGGATTGTTAAGAGTTATGGTTATGTTTTTAATGTTATGAATAATTTGCGATTTTTGCGAATTTGTAATAATTTATTTTTTGATTGTTTAGGTGAAGTGGTAGAACATTATGTTATGACTATTGTAGATGTGTAATATCATAGTATACCGTCAATTTAAAGAAACAAATTTTATCAAACTGTGTCCTCCCCCATTGCAAACGCAAAGCTTGAGTATAACTGCAAAAAGCATTTTAAACTTATATGCCAACCCTGTACAAAGGACGGGTACTCTGCTAGTAGGAAATAAATCTGACAATTTTAAGGGAATATTTTAGTAGAAATCCAGCCAGGAAAATGGAAGTTCGCTTAGTCTGCAGGTTTGCTGCGGCGAGGGTATTTTCTTTTTAATTTGAAATAAAATAAGAATATCTTCACCAGGTATCAGATGACTGGAATTATACGGCGTAGACTCGCCAGTGTAAGTTTGAAGTTGAATTTGAATAAATTATTATATTCCCATTATAAGTTTACAGTATTGTAGAATGATATAAATGAAGTTGGAGTGTTAAATTAATATAATAGTTTTGTAACTGAGACATGGTGGTCATTGAGGGCATTGATTGCCCAATGATAGAGAAAAGGTGGGTCCAAATTTAAACAATATAAAGCATTTTTCAATCTGGTATCAATCTGATTACAAGATAGAAAAACAACCACTCAACTAATCAGCTGTATTTACCATAAAATAGCCTAAATAACAGTATCATTATTAAAGAAAATTAACTTTATCACTTTTAAAAAGGGTAGGGTACAACCACCATGGTTACCATAAGTTCGGGCGCACACCGCTGTAGTTTACGTAGCGCGTACGCTGTAACTACCGTGGCGATCCCAGCGGTGTGCGCCAGAACCTATGGTAACCGCAGCACAGCTGACAGTCTATATTTAATTCTTTTTGTCTATGGTACAACTTTGTTCAAATACCCTTTCTCCAGTGGCCCGGCCTAGCTATATAATTCTATGTTTTCATAACATTTTTGTAAGATAGGAAATTTACAGGCAGTTAAACAATCAAAATTGAAGATTTTTATCATTGCAAAGCTTTCAGTTAGGAAATCGATTCCTTTATTTGTATGCAGTATATTTTTCAGCCTTAAACAAAGGTGGTAAGTAGATTTGTCTTTTTAGTATATAAATTGACGATGACAAGGTTCGAAGACAAAAAAATCTACAAATCACAACAATGTCCACCAATATTGTATCGCCCAGAGGGTGAAGAATCACATTAGCCTTACTTACTTACTGCCGTTTGTACCCCAGTCTGTAGTTAGCCTCAGAAATACAGTACCTCCATCTGTTTCTGTGCTCAGCATCTTCTTCTTCAATTCCCAAAAGTCCCATGTCTTGCTGGACCTGATCCCACCACTGTCATTTGTACCCCAGTTGGTTGTTGGCCTCAGCAACACAGAGCCTCCATCTGTCTCTGTGCTCAGCATTTTCTTCTTCAATTCCCCAAAAGTCTCATGTCTTGCTGGACCTGATCCCACCACTGTCATTTGTACCCCAGTTGGTTGTTGGCCTCAGCAACACAGAGCCTCCATCTGTCTCTGTGCTCAGCATTTTCTTCTTCAATTCCCCAAAAGTCTCATGTCTTGCTGGACCTGATCCCACCACTGTCATTTGTACCCCAGTTGGTTGTTGGCCTCAGCAACACAGAGCCTCCATCTGTCTCTGTGCTCAGCATTTTCTTCTTCAATTCCCCAAAAGTCTCATGTCTTGCTGGACCTGATCCCACCACTGTCATTTGTACCCCAGTTGGTTGTTGGCCTCAGCAACACAGAGCCTCCATCTGTCTCTGTGCTCAGCATTTTCTTCTTCAATTCCCCAAAAGTCTCATGTCTTGCTGGACCTGATCCCACCACTGTCATTTGTACCCCAGTTGGTTGTTGGCCTCAGCAACACAGAGCCTCCATCTGTCTCTGTGCTCGGCATTTTCTTCTTCAATTCCCCAAAAGTCTCATGTCTTGCTGGACCTGATCCCACCACTGTCATTTGTACCCCAGTTGGTTGTTGGCCTCAGCAACACAGAGCCTCCATCTGTCTCTGTGCTCAGCATTTTCTTCTTCAATTCCCCAAAAGTCTCATGTCTTGCTGGACCTGATCCCACCACTGTCATTTGTACCCCAGTTGGTTGTTGGCCTCAGCAACACAGAGCCTCCATCTGTCTCTGTGCTCAGCATTTTCTTCTTCAATTCCCAAAAGTCTCATGTCTTGCTGGACCTGATCCCACCACTGTCATTTGTACCCCAGTTGGTTGTTGGCCTCAGCAACACAGAGCCTCCATCTGTCTCTGTGCTCAGCATTTTCTTCTTCAATTCCCAAAAGTCTCATGTCTTGCTGGACCTGATCCCACCACTGTCATTTGTACCCCAGTTGGTTGTTGGCATCAGCAACACAGAGCCTCCATCTGTCTCTGTGCTCAGCATCTTCTTCTTCAATTCCCAAAAGTCTCATGTCTTGCTGGACCTGACCCCACCATCTAGTACTTGGTTTTCAGTTTGGATTCTTCTTCTTAGTAAGTGTCCATTCCAGCAAAGTTTATAATTTTTCTCAATTAAGATGGGGACGCCACCCAGTTGCGTATTTT